TGCTGTCCTGACTTCTGATGTGTTTTAATTACAAATCAGGTTATGTGTTGCAAAAACATCATAAATAATTTGGTTTTCTGCTAAAACTGTGTCTTAAATCACTCACATTCAGGTTACAGAAGTTGTAAGAATTTATCCCTTCAGTATCTCAGTAATGAGGTAGTTTTGGCAATGCCTTCAGAGAAATCCTCTGATCTTTCATATATGCTGTCTAGTCTTAAATATAAAAGGAAACTTATTTTTAGTGTGACATATTTCTTTCTCAGTTCCAATCCCTGAATTTTTTAAAATAAAAATAATTCTAGAAGAGTGTCATATTGACAGGATGTTGGCAGAATCTGAAGAGGGCTCAGGTGGCTTCCACACCAATTTTGCTTGATCTTAATAACTATACAAAGAAAAATATGGTCAGATTTTTACATATTAACTTGTATAGAAGAGTTCCTTTAAATAAAACTATTTCATTAAATATTTAGAACTTCTTCTACAGAAGAATTTTGCTCATCCATTCTTATACGGAACTTGCTAGTTAACTGTCAAAAATTGAGAAGAGACAGGAAAATTCTCTGAGCTGGAACGAGTTACTGTTACACTGAACTCTCGCCTTTTAATAATGTTATGTAGATTCTTCTTTGAGTATATTAAGATACTCCCTTGTATATTAATTTTAATTCATTACCTCAGCATTTGAAATACTAACAAACCATAAAACTGTAATTCTTAATATACTTTTTACTACACTTTTCCATAACCCTTTCCTTGTCCTGGAATAATTTATTTTTCTAAGAAATATAATAAAGACAGTAAAACTTACTTGAGGTAGCAGGGACTGTTGTGGTCGTAGGCGGAACTGTAGTTGAGGGTAACTTTTTTGGTCTAAATTTATAATGGCCAATAAAACCATCAGCTGTTAAGCTTAAGTCAGACAAAAACTGAATGAGCAACTCATTCCTCTCAGACAGAATAGGCCTGAAACAGAAAAACAAAATACTGTAATTGTTTTGAATGCCAAAGCTAAAAAAGCATCAATAGCGTTCTTCTTACCAAAAAAAAAAAAAAAAAAAATAGAGAGTACTTCACTTTAATTATTGGTGTGAATGCAGTATCTGCCCCCAGACTAATACTGAAATACATGTTTCTTTGCTGGCATGTCAGACACTGGTGTTTTTAGTGATGAATTCTGATGAATCATCTAAACCTCTGATTCCTGAAGCTTATGTCAATACGAGTGTCTTTAAATTCTTCTGTGTGACTGCATTGCAGACTTCACTTGCATGGAATGTAAGGGGCTAGATTAACACAGTGGGAAAATATATTGAAGAAATCATCAGTATGTAGCAGAGGTAAGTAAATGGGGTTTTTTTTTAATTAGTTTTTGTTTAATGAAAAACATATTACATATTTGGAAGGCCTCAAGAAAATGAATTCAATTTTGGATTCTGTAATTGTTTGACAAAAACACAAAAAATAAGATGTTTGGGGTTATTATTTACTGTGAGGCACTGGCACAAGTTGCCCAGAGAAGCTGTGGATGCCCCATCCCTGGAGGTGTTCAAGGCCAGGCTGGATGAGGCTTTGAGCAACCTGGGCTAGTGGGAGGTGTCCCTGCCCATGGTACAGGGGGTTGGAACTGGATGAGCTTTAAGGTCCTTTCCAAGACAAACCATTCTATGAGATGACTCTATGATTATTTCTGTGGGCTCAGATTTTGTCAGTTATTGGATATTCATTGCCAAGGCCTTGAAGAGCTAATGGGGTTATTTTCTTGGGATTTGAAATGTCGTGACCAAGCATTATTCAGTGTATTAGTTTTTAGTTCATAAACTGCATAGTACCTTCTGTGATGCTACCTGCCTCTGGATGTGGATGTAGTGTGATGAGGCTTCATGTAAGACTACTGTTAGAGAAAGTTGTATGGAATGCAAGTCTAGCCACCATGATTTCTAGTTCTTTTACAACACTGTTTTTCTGAAGCCTGCTGATAAATTTTGATGAGAATTCTGCAGAGCTAGAGGAAGAATCCCCAAGAGCCATACTTTCCCTCTTTCACTGGCTATATAAGCTGCCTGCATACAGGTCTGCAAGGCAAAGTGACTGTGTTCAAGCTCTATGTTGGATCTCCGATTAGGAAGCAATGCTATGCTAAAACTGGCTTACAGGACACTTCTGAAATTCTGTAACAGGAAATGTCATCTCTAAGCTATGTGGCCTGGGTCTGAGCCCAGTCTTCTGCCCTTATTTGCTTGTTACACCAAGTCTGTACTAAAATGTCTGTATTTTGAAACCACTAGGGTTTGGCAGGCCAATTTACAGCTTTGACATGCTGTGGAGATAGATGCCGAGCCGCAGCTGAGAGGTGGTTTAGGAGGCTACTCCTGGTTGCCTCTCAGGGACTATGTGGCACCTCCTCCTTTTGCACTGCTCTGTCAGCCAAGATCACATCCTGACAGTGCAAAATGTACTTGCACATCTGGGCTAGGTTTTAGCTGGAAAAAGGCAGCGCAGTCCTGCACCAGCCTCATCTGTACGGGGTGTTGTTCACTACTGCCTTCCAAGAACCAGGGGAAGGACAAGGTCTTGTGGAGTTCAGAAAAGGTCTGAAACGTCACAACTTACATACAGAGTGAGTCAAACAATGCTCTAATCATGCTTCTGGCTTAAACCCCGTTCGACTAGGAAGCAAGTCCATTTGCTTCAGTCCTTTGGATCTGACTTGCACGAAACAGAACGCCCATGGCAGGAACTGAAGGAATTTGGATGGGACATCACTAGTTAAGTGTTTCTAGTACAAAATTCTGTTAGGGTTTGGATTTTTTACAGTAGCTTGAAGGTAAATACCTTACTGTTCTGCAGTAATGGTTGAGTTGTAAGGGATGGATCTGCGAAGTCACAAGGAGGTCCTCATGCTATGCTCATTAATGGAATACCTGTCTACCTGGTGATGAAGTATTAAGTAATGTAACTAACATCTGTCATCTGCTAGTCACTTTTTTTATTCTGTCGAAAGAGAGAGGACTGTTTGCAATAGAACTCTTTTTGGGAGGGTGTTTTTACTTCCGATGATAGTGATTTTTTTATCTAATAAATACAGATGCTTACAACATTCAGGTCAAAGAAATTTATCACCCATTTGGAGACCCAGTCACTCCACCTGCAATTACTTGAAGTGCCACAGCACATCAAGGCAACAATCCATCTTTGTTTCTAGGCAAAACTCTAAGCTATAAAGTATGAAGACACTTTGCTATGAATACATACGGAAGGCAAGAATGGAAAAATTCTGAATGTCATTTGGCAAAGGGGTAGAAGTGAATGTCCAAGATTTCTAACCCACCTCCTTGCCTTGATGACTCAATATTAACTCTGCCTTGCAGAATCTCCCTCCATCTCACAGTCTATGGGTTGGAGGCAATATGGAAAGATAGTTTACTTCTGCTAGTGAAGTTTTTCCTGAAAACAAGGAAGTGATTATATATGTAACTACAGCTAGAATTTAGCCTCTTGCATCACTTTAGTGGCCTGAATTACCTAGCACTTAAAGACCCGTAAGTGTTAAGTCTTACACATAAGACTCCCTGTTGTCAGTATCTTTCTATAGAGCAGCTTTTTAAACTTTGCTACAAGAAGGGGACCTGAAATTAAATTTATTTATGTAGATAGTTTCAAACTGGGTGGGGGGGAAGAAAGAAAAAAGAAAAAAATGTGGAACTCCAGACCAAAAGTCTAAAATGGCTGAAGGAAACTGAAGTTAATATATTTCAGGTGCCACCCTACCCTTAATTAAATTCTTGCCAAATTTCTAGTAAATTTCTGTAGGCCTAAGCTTACTCCATTTTTAGCACTGTCATGCTATAGCATAGCTGCTGCATGAAGAAGAAAAATCTCTAAAAAGACCCTTTAAAAGAGTCCTACAGAATGTCTGCCTCCCTTCTTGTCTCCTGAGGGTATACTACGTAACCTTAAAAAATCCTACCAAACAAAAAACACAAACCTCACAGTAAATCTCAGTCTAGTAAGCTATGCTTAGAAAGACTGAGGCATGCACCTCCTCCCCCTGTACCACAATTACTTGCTCTTGGGAATCAAACTAGCTGCCACTTCTGAGGTGTAAGCCTAGTCACACACCTCCATGAAGTTGTTTCTTTTTTTAATAGCTTGTATTTCTTGAAACAAAATGCATCCTCTATGTCTTCTAAAGCTACTCACCTTTAAGAAGCTCAATGGAACAGGAACAACAGGAAAGCAGAGAGAAAAATTACTAGCTTCACCCTAAAAACTTTACACTTTTTTGGGAATAATTATGATCTACTATTGCTAGATCTGATTATATGGTTACAGTGCTGGGTTAGGGGTGGGTTTTGGGGGTGGGAGGCTTGTGGGGGATGTGTTGTTTTTTGGGGGACAGGGGAGTTGTAAGTTGGAGGGGGTGGTGTTGAGGGAGTCTGGGGGCAGCAATTTGATAGCAAAGGCAGTGAAAACGTGCTGTGCTACCCAGCGTGCTCAGGAAAGCAGTCTGTGCCGTGAGAGAATGTGCCTTGGCACAGATGGAAGAGATGGTGAGCAGCAATGCAGGGAGCAGCCAGGGAACCCGCAGAGGGGAAGTGGCTGAGGGGGAAATGAGTCAGATAAAGTGAGTAATGAGCCAACAGGCTAGAGAGTTCAGCTGGATCCTTGTAATTCAGTATCTATAATCAAAACATACCTATTAAGTGATGTTAGCGTTCAACTACAATTAATAACGGTATTATACCAATATCAATGGCATTAGTATTGGTATTGGTGTTATTAGACACTGCTGTAATGAGGCCAGAGGGACAGGATGGAACATGGGTTGGAGACAGGGCTAGTTATAGAGGGAGAGAGAAAAGGGAAAACCTAGGGAGAGACAAGATACAAACAAACTCCTACAAGTTCAATTGGAGGTAGAAAATATATTTAATCTAAAAATTAAGAAAAATATTTCTGAAGGCTAGCACAGACCTGTTAGCAAAATGAAACCTAGTGGTAGTGAAGTTCATAATTCAAGAAAGTTACTTACGCTGGTGGACTATCTCCGCAGTACTTCCCAATTCTTTTAGCATCATTAATTTCCCCACCATTAAACACTGCGACGTAGTCGTATCTGCAGTAGTTGTCCCTCTCCACATCAAACTTCTCAAACTTTAACTCTATTAGCTGCAAGGAAAGTGTAAATAACTCATTAAGGTTTTGGCATGCAGAATTTATTAGTAATTCTTATAGTAAGTGACCTCTTCGTGTGAAATACTAATTAATTTTCCTTTCCATAAAGAAAAAGTCCTTAATCCACTTAAATGTGGACTGCAGTATTTTATTCCATGTGACTTCTCTCCAACAAATAGTTCAACATATGACTCGAATATTCTATAAAACATTTTGTTCTCAAATACATGCAAGTTAACTTCTGATAAAGTAATTTTTTTGAGTGAATGAGAACAGGATAGAAGGTGTTCGGTGTTATGCTGCTTTTAAAATAACTGTAACTAGTCTAAACCACAGAAAAGGGGGTTTTACTGTCATTGTATCATCCAAGATACATTAAAGAAAAAGCAAGGGCAAAGTTGGTAAGAGCAATTTCGCTGACTTCATTAGGAGCATGGTTTGAATCACTGTGATTGTCAATGCTGTTTACTTGATGCAGAAATAAAAAGGTCAGAAACAAAAATATTGATAGAAAGAAAATCACTACATAGTAAGACTAAAACCAAGAGAAAGTAAGTAGTTACAGGAATTGTGTTTCTATACATAATTTCCATAAATGTTGAGGCTTTACAAATCATAAGTGAGAACTAGTGTAACTCTGATGTTTGCAATACTGATGCTACCATCTCCAGTATGATTTGTATTTATAGACTTTTCTACTTCAGAAAGAAAACAATGGCCAAGAAAACAGAAATAGAATTTACTACTCTGAAACAAAGTCCTGCAGTATGATTCTGTCAGTTGTGTGTAGCAAGGAAGGAAAACACAACGTAACTGCACAACTGAAACGGAGGTAACACATGCATTTAGGTTACTTCTTTATATGAAGCACAACAGTTTAAATCATCTTCCCATACATAGCATAAATGAGGCTTGAAGGACAACACTGTATGGAGTTGACTGTCGATATGCAGGATTTCTCTTTATAAAGGTTAGTCTCAAAGATGATATTAAATCTTTTAAGACTGTACAAAGGAGTCCATTGTACATTGCATGCACTTTATTTAATTTACTGACATAGTAAAAATGATCTTGTTCTACATTCATAGTAATGATAGCCTGTTATCACCTTATGTCTTAGTTCTGCCTGGATATGCTTTTGCACTATTCAGATGTGTAAGGCATCATTTTGTTTCCCATAAAGTACGAGTAACCTAGGAAGCGAGGCCTTGGTTTCAGATAACAGGCTTGTTCCAAAACCCTTGTCACCATGATGAAAAAATGCACTTTAAATGGAAGTACCCATCTGAAAAATATGCTTCTGATCAACAAAGATGATATAGAAAGAAGTAATGCAACTGGGAGCAGAAATGCTAAATTTTTCCATATGCAGGCAAAACAGCAGGCCATAATATCTACTTTGCTATTGCCCTTAATTGCACTTTGCACTAATAAAGAAGTATTTTGTGACAGAATGGAAGCTCTTCATCATCATGAGGAGCTCCACCATCTTCTGTAATAAATGAAGTAATTATTGGTTTGTATTAGGAGCAAAAAAGTGCCATATTTATTGCTCACATGCTTGTGAAAGGGAAGTAGAGACAACAGCATCTAAACTTTAGCAAACAGAAGAGTGAACAGCTTTTCATGTGCACTTGGAGAGAGATGCTTATTCACTATTTCCTGAAAAATGGCTTTTGTCAGTGTCAGAATTCTGCCTCCTTTGCATGCAAACAACCACTCTTGCAGTATGTGAAAAATATACATACAGATTTATGGCACAGGATCTTCAAAAGGCAGAGCATACAGTGCCCTTATTTTTATGCTTATATAGCCTTTCTTGAATTTTCTCTACAAGCTTAGGAAAAGTTTTTAGTCTTATCTAGAGATATTCAGAAAGAACCAAAGTAGTCTGCAGTTTATAGATAAGGTTTTAAAAATCACTGCCTATCTATAGGATTGTTAAATGACCTGTATCTAGCAAGCAAGGAATGTGGATTAAAGAGGAGTACAGGAAAGACTAAGCTGACATAGTGCTTCAGTTCAAGGGAGAAAATATCTCAGTAAAGTATGAAAGATCTGAGGAATATATTTATCTGGGCAGCTTTTTTTATTTGGAGGATTATGGTCATGAGCAGAAGATTAAGAGGAAAGTCATCTTTACATGTAGAGGAATTTAAAGGGCTGGACGTGGTTAAGAAAAGCATTATACCAAACATGCTTGGCAACCAAAACATTTTATCATTGGAGACTTCCTGCCAAAGTACAGAGCAGATGGCTCAGCAACAACCAGAAAATGCGAAGCTAGGATTGAGATTAGCCCTGCAGCATAGGGAACACATTTGTGTTTGCCCTGTGTGGCAAATGGTGGCAAATGAGCCCTCTTGGTCTGCCGTCACATCTCTTCAGGTCTTAATGAAGTGGTAACATACACTCTGATGGCATCTGCCTAATGAAGCAAGCCTGTTATGAGATGGAGCCTTCAACATATGAACTAAAATAAACTCTATGAAATGTACATTAAAAATCCCTGTGCAGGACACATATAAATATATTCCCTGTACTGTAAGCAGAATAAAATAATTCATGCTCTTAAAAAATGCCATCAGCTCTGCCTGAGCACCTCCATAACAAACTGCAGCAACACCGACAATGCTACAGATGTTGTTCGACTTCAGCCTAGCAGTGGTCATCATTGTGTCGGGTCCTGAGATGTTCACCTGCCCTAACTTAATTTGGATTAAATCAGCTTCAAAAAAATCTGCTTTAAAGACCTCACCAGTCACAGATGCTTTACAAAGCGGGTGGCGGCAGGGCCTTACCTGGTTCTTGGGGGCGACGATGTGCCAGGAGCAAGTGACGCCGGCGGGGTAGTCGCGCTCTGGCCAGTTGGGCGTTTGGAAGGACCCTGACGGCTTCTCCAGTCGTCCCCCGCAGTACTGGTCCCCTGCAAGCACAGCACACCGTGCTGACCAGGGTGCCGCGGGGACACCCTTGTTCTGCTGTGGGGCAGGGAGAGGCGCACGGCTGGTTGCAGCCAGGTCCGGCCGGTTCTGGCTGGTTCCAGCCGCCTCTGCCAGGGCCCTGCCGCAGGACGTGGCCGAGCTCTCAGCTCTGCTGGGGGCACCTCTGGGAAAGCCCCTTTGATAAAGAGCAGCAAATGCCAGAGGTAGAGGAGGGTAGAAAACAGAGTGAGAAATGCTCCTGCGAACAGTGGGGTGAGGAGAAGGAGGCGCAGGTGCTGGGGAGCTGTGCTGGCCCGACGGGTGTTCCTGAAGGAGCTGTGGCCTGTACAGAGCCCACGACAGATAGGGGGCCTTCCTCCATATCTCCTCCTCCCGGTCCCAGATTACAAAGCTACATCAGCTATGTAATCCTTATTTATAACCTTCTTTATTAAATTAACTCTGTTGTGTCACAGTTGTTTAATGTATCTTTCAGGAAGCTATCAATGAAGGGCTACAGCTGGAAGGACTGATCAGTTACTCATCACCTGGACTGCACCTGCCCCACAGCCTGCCCACCTGGTACCATGCCAACAGCAAAAGCCTTCAGAAAGAGCCACTCAGCAGGCTGGTACCCCTCCCTGTAACCTCCCAGCCTCTTGCAGTTCATGGTCTTCCCAAGCACAAAACAATGCCTTTATGTTTAACAATACCTAACAATTTTTTTCTTCCATGTGTTTTTCTACTTGTTTTTAAACCGATGTAGAAATTGACAATCCACAATGTCCCCTGGCAGCACTCCACCACTCAACAGCTTGCTGAGAAAACCCAACCTCTCCTTCTCCTTTCCCTTGCAGACACTTGCTTCATCTGTTTTTTTGGGGTTTTTTTGTTTGTTTGTTTGTTTATGGTTTTTTTTTTGTATTAGAAGAAACAGTGACTGTGGTCCCCATTCACTTTCTCTGTACCATTCATGACTTTAGAGCCCTGTCCTATGCTCCCCTTGACCCTTTCCTTTCCAGTATGAAGAGCTCCATGCTGTGCAGCTGGTCTTTGTGTAGGAGATGTTCCTTACCTTGATCATGCTTGTTGTCTCTGATTGCTTCTGATAGTTTTATTATATCCTGTTCTGAGATGGGAATATCAGAATGGCACACAATATTCAAGACATAGAAGCATTACGGACTTATAGTGGAATAACTTGTTGTTGTTGTTCGGTCTTTATTCCCTTTTCAAAAAATTGTTAAGTTTCTGTTTCTTTTTTGATAGCTATTGTGTACTGGATTGATAGCCAACTATTTTTTTCATAAATTATCTATTTTAAACTGAAGATCTCATTCCTAAGTAGTAATAGTCAATTCAGAGCCCGTTGTACTGTACATAAAGTTAGGGTGTTTTCCCCTTATTTGCAACATTTCTCTATATTGAATTTCATCTACCATTTTATTGACTAGCTATTACCTTATTGCTGCTAGGTGCAGTTCTTCTGCAACTCTTAGAATAGTCAGCCCTCTTCTGTACTACTTTGATTAACTATGATGGCTAAACAGTTATGCTTTGCTATTTGCTAAGCAAGATATAATGAATATGTTGAATAGCACCATCCCTAATATCGCTGGCATCACATTTTTTTAATCATTAATATGGTTCTCCATAGAGTTGTACAGTTATATTTGTCTTCAGCACATATGTAATTGTTAATTACCTCTTTCATGGGGTTCTGCTGCAGAAAACTTCGCAATGAATCCACTTCCAGCAGTGTTAGCATCTGAAGTCATCTGCACCAGCATTTTATTGCTGTTGGATACAAGGGCACCTGGTTTCACAGTACCACAGAACCTGCCGATGCGTTGTTCATTGGCATGGCCATTGTATATATCCACAAAATCATATCGGCACAAGTTGTCACTTTCCAGGTCTAAATACCTAAAGGAAAGAACCACCACTTTTCCTTCTGGGACCTGCAGAGAGAGAAGGAGAGATGTATCTTGAAGCGCGACTGACACCACATATCTATATGATCCCACTATTTGCACGAATATTTTCATATCCTTCACTTCTTGCCGGGTAAGCCCTTTTTGTCAACTATACTCCAGGAGAGTGGTTTTTACGATCATATTGGACCAATCATTAAAACAAAGCTCTGGCCATCTCTGTTGCCGTTATCTTCCTCCTGATCCACAGTGTCATCTAGCCAGGCTCAGATAGTTGATAATATAGCATCACCACCCAGTTCAGCTTGGCATGTTTCTCTTATTTTCTGCTGAAGGTATGCAATCAGCCATGCAGCTCCCTGTCCCAAGTAAAATGAGGAGGATGAGATTAATATGGTTAAAAAAAAAATACAGAACAAACAATTTACAATTTTGAGCAAATGAAATGGCCTCTCTTATCTTGATGATTTGTGTCATAAAGTTTCATAGTTTGAAGGATTTTTTTATTTACTGACACACGACTTACATTTATAAAAAATTGGAACCTTTATGGCTAATGCTGTACAACTCTAATATTTAGCTATTGGAGTGGGCACATTTAGCTTGAAGGCTGCAGTAAAATAATTCTATTTGGAAACAGTATGTAAAACTATAAACAGAGAGTTCAAAAGAACCATTAGTGGGTGTCCTCAATACAGAAAAGAGTTTTGTTTTCTGAAGCATCTGAGGAAACATAAGACAGGGCAAATTTTCTTGCATGTCTGCATCTGTGGACATTGCAAAAGAGGCAAGAGCACTGAGAAGGATGTAAATTAGGAGAGCATAATAGTTTACAAGGAGGAGAACATTTCCTGGGATAGAGTTGCAAGCTTTTAAGAAAATAAGCAGCATACTGAGAAGTGAAAAAGATTCTAACAAAGCACTCAATGCTATTTAACAGGACAGGAAGAAGGGAAACAGTATTTTAAAGTATAGAGGGACCCTAGTCAGGCACATTCAATTCATGCCTGGTAGAGTGGTTACCGATTAAAATAATTGCAGCTGTTCTATTTTACTGAGACACTGCTATTATTCTCTGCTTTAAACATATAACACACACTTAATATATCTGCAGTAGGTCAGTATTTAAGCCACTTGATTTAAGAGTTCATGGATTTTTTCCTTCCTAACAGTGACTTATTTTAAAACACCAGTTTGAGATAAACTACAGCTAAACTGTTCCTATATGAAATTGTCCAACAGTGTTTGAATTCTGTGATTTTTAACGGTTAAAAATACCTTGTCAGGCATAGATGGAAGTGCTATAGATGGAAGCAAACCCACAGAAAATACTCATACAGGCAGCAGCTCTAGATGTAGCGAAAAATGTGCTGCAGATATGTTAAGGTTACTCATTCATGTGGCTGCTTTGATATCCAGTGCTGATACTGGTCCTGCAGCAGGACAGACTTTTGGATGAGCTGTTTTCAGCTGCCCGGGGCCCATGTACACACTGGCTGACCAGCCCCACTGCAGTTCCTGTTGCTGGTTTCAGGCTACTTTCCTTTAATCCTTGTTCAAAGTTCTATCAAAAATTCATTCAGTTCCCCTGTGCTGACGTACATCACTACTACTACTACTAGAACAAAACCACAAAACTCATCTAATCTTACCCAGAAATTCCACAGCACAATGACTATGTTTTAGAAAACTTCCAAGCCAGATGTTAGGTTTAAAACTCATACTACTGAAGTGAGCAAGCCTTATAGCTGGTATCAGAAAGTAACCCATGTGTGTATTTAGCCAGCCTAAGGCCAATACAGACACATGGTCATATTGCAAGATACTCCGTGAAAGCCATATGACTCCTTGAATCACTGCTCTCATAACTAAATCTCTTATTATTGCATTCACTTGCCTTCTGGTCTGAATCACTAAGAGGCATTAAAACATGGTCATTTTAACAGAAAAAGAGCTAAAAGGAATTTGGTATTCCTGTCAGAAGACCTAAATGTTATTTGTGGTTATACTATGAACTCTGTGTGACCAGAGAAATCAGTTCAAAAATGCTGGCCGTAACGTTAATCAGCTGAAGTCAGATTTGGGCAATTAAATTAAAGCAGCCTTTTTTTTTTTTTTTTTTCAAAATATGTATGTAAAATAGCGTATGCTCTTTTGGGCTGGAACACTGATTATTCTTAAATTTGTACAACTGGCACAACAGGATTCAAATGACATGACCTTCAAAGGTTATAATGCAGTTAAGATTGTCCAATGCTTTCCACTACAAAACACTTTTTACAGCGTCTTGCAGCTTTGCTGCAACTTACCCATCTTTAAGAAGTTTCCCCCTTTCCTTCCACTGTTTGTGAAAGTGGAGCAGAAGGTGCTCCATCATATTAGATTAAGTAATTTTGTCAGTGCTTATTTTTCTCTACTTTCTCAGCTTGAGTTGCTTCTTTGAAGACAGTCCCTTCCCGAGTTTGAAGAAGGAAGTTGAAATCTGAGAGGTGGCTGCTTCTGGGGTAAGAAAATGGCTTTTTGCTGTCCTTGTAGAAATGCAGTTATCCCTCAGTAATGCTGATGGGTGCTCACTGTCCCATGAGCTCACTGAGCCAGCACTGCTCTGCTCATGCCAGCCTCACAGCACTCGGTCCTGTCCCCAGGTTTTCGGTCCTGTCCCCAGGTTTTCCAAGTGGGGCATGGGAAACCAGGACGGGGGACTGACCCACACTCAGGAGGGAGACGATGCTGGTAAAGCAGCCAAACTCCGAGCTGCCACCCAACCATTCACTCAAGTCTTGAGGTTTCCATTTCATAGTACAAGTAATTCTGTGCAGTGCCGTACGCCACCATCTCTCTGCACCATAATGTTACACTACACTATAGTACATTATCTAATTATATTTCAATATAGTTTTTAATCTCTCTAGCTTCTATTAGTTCAGTCTACTTGGTCTTTGTCAAGATTGTTCCCCATAGATGTACTGCATTTTGAAGTTTTGTTTCATGACAGTTTGTAAGAAAATGTGTAGGAAAAACTCAGCCACATGGTCATGAATGTTTAGCAAGGAGCCTCCTCCAGAATTCAGTTGTCAGAAGAATCCTTGCTCACATTTAGCTGAATTTGGGGAGATCAGTCATTTACAGAAGCCAGTGAACTGCACCCCTTAAATCACAAGCACTACTTACTGCCATTGCTTTATAAAATAGTGTCAGTGCCTATTAAAATAATATTTGGCATTATTCACAAAAATAACAAATTTGTTCCAGCATGTTAAATCAAATCAAAGTTTGCGGTCTGACCAGATGACATTCAAGAGTGCAGAGGATGGTGGTTCCACATTCTGGCAGCAGCCGCTCCTACTCCCAAGGAATCCCACCCTAAATACAGGCGTCTTTGCAAAACAATACTTTTCTTTCATTTCTACCATTTCTGTTTTTTAAAAGTTCAAAACTAATGTGTTAAAATCTGCCAATGTTTGTCCTAGGACATTTAAGATATTGTTCCATGAGAAACACAGGGGAGAAAGCAAAGGCCAGCATGACTCAGTTTTGTTTACTTTGAGCCATGCCTGAGTCTGATGCAGTAATGTGATGGGATACCTCAGAGGAAGAACTGGAAGGAACTGCAGCTCTTAAGAAAAAAAAAAAAAAAAGAAAAAAAAAAAAAAAGGAAAAGAGCCAGAAGTCAAAGGAAGAATATGTGGTGCTTCTCCTGCAGGGTGTGCCTTATTTTTGTTTTACCCATACAGCTGGTATCTTTCAACAACAGAAGCACTTCAGCTTCTGCCTCCCCTTGTCACACTGAGGGTGACTGACCCATACTTGTCATCTGCTTCCCTTCTTATTTTAACTCCGCAAACTTCTTTAGGATCAGCAATTATAACGCTTAACTCAGGTGAAGGATGTCTTACTCCTATTGAAGGCTAAAGGAAAACAGCACTCCTTGAATGTTGGGGGGGAGTTTTTCTAGAGGATAATTCCCCACAAATCATCTGTGTAGATTATTAACCTCTTCAAAAGGGCATGATTATTTTGTATGTACAACCCAACCCACCACAGAATAAGTTCCCTAGATTTTTGTTGTTGTTGATATAATTCATTGCAGATATTTCATATAATGTTAATCAAAGTTCACTTACATTTAGAGTAGTTAAGCTGATTTTCTGATGTTGTTCTGACTGAACACAAAGTCCTCTTCATTGTGCCTCTCTCAGTTTCTGAGGAGGATTCCCAAACTGTCATACTTTTAAAAATTACCTGATTTAGATTATTGGCTTTGAAAATAATCTTTTGGTGGGGAAAAACCCTTAAATACCAACTTTCAGAGAAAATATTTTGCCTCATTTTTAAACCTACATTGTATATGGGTTTAATATATTTTATTATCTGTTTATTACCAAAATGCTGATTGTATGTTTTGCCAGAGCAGTCCTAGGTAGAACTGAAAAATACATCTGCCACCTGCAAGTCAAACATATTATTTCTCTCTACTGAGAATTAATGTGAAAGTTATTTGGAGTTACATCCTGGGAAGAACCACAGCTTCTGCCTAGTCACTGGTTCCCTAGCTCCATTCCAGTCACAAAGGAACAGTTTTAAAAACAAATTCATATTAGCTTGCTGTCCCTAACGAAGGCAGTAGATTCTGTTCAGCTATTTCTTTCTGGTAACACAACCATGCATAAAGATCTATTCTCTACTGGAAGGGTGGTTTCACAATGATAGGGAAAAATGAATGCTTAAAATGTAGAGAAAATTATTTAAAATATTTCACTCCTCTGGGGCAGATTCCCAACTAGCCTGATAAGTAAATTTTTCAAACCTTGCTTATTGTCAGCAAACCTGCTGGAACACAGCTCCTGAACCTACAAAAATATAACCTTACATAACTTGGACCGTCTTCACTGTTATTGTTGCACATAAAGTTGTTAAGAGTTTTATGGGAACTACACAGTCTGCCAGAAAAACCCAGGACAGCAGTCCAGATTCTTGGACTATGTGACACATTTATGTGAGGTGATGGCCAAGAAGGATTACAGAGTATTAAAAGTAAATGTATATGATGTATTTTAGATAAAGCTATATACATTATAATATTATATATTTTAGATAAAGCTATATACATTACTATAGGAAAGGAAATAGCTGTACAAATGACTTCTTAGTAAAGCCAGCTAAAAGCTGCTGGGTAGTCTGCCAAGGCTGCAATATAACCACAAGCATGTGCTGAACACTTCTTAGAGCTCTTAGAATAGAGAAACTGTTTTCTTTAGCCAGCTGAAAAAGTCCCAGTCTCTTGAAATAACAGAACCATAATTGAGTTAGAGAGACTCTTCTAGTTTAGCAAACCAGTTGGAAAGATTTCAGCTGATACCTGAATGCTACATTGCTTTATCTGTGCTACGCATAACATTTTCTAAACCTGCTTTCTTCTAAAAAATGAATTAGCTCTCACTCTGCCTCTCTGTGGATTTCTTCTATAGACAATGTGATCCTGTAGATGAGAAAACAGCAGCTTGATGCTTCTCGTGACCCAGACACAAAGTGAATCAATGCCTTTTCCAGTCTTGCAGACCTGTCAGATCCTGCATTAGGCAGAGTGTTTTCAGGAAGGTGTTCACAGACCTTGGCTAAAATGGACAGGCGAAAAGTCTTAGCCAGCTTCTAAGATCAGATGCTAAATGAGGAGGAAGCCTAACAGTAACTACAGCATATTTCTTCATGGCAGTGTAACTGGCTTTCTTACCTGGGTGCTACTGCAAGCTATTCTTAGCCTCAGCAGTATCTGGTGAAAGGATTTTTTTGTTCAAATTCAGGCTAACCAGACTCTTGAGTGTACCACTTTCCCTTAGTTTGGTAAATCATCCTCTTTTTAAAAAGGGTGCAGTTTTTTAGTCCTTGCCTTTCCTACATCCTTGCTGCACATCCAAAAGACACGGCATTCTACACAGCTGATGGGGGGGAAAAATCATCTTGGCTTAGTGAACAATATTGTCTAATAGGGGTTAAATGAGGTGGGGGCACAAGACAGCCTGGACTGCTACAGTTGCACAGCTCTTCTCTGGCTTTGGCTGAGCTAGAGAGAGTAGGTATGCAGCAGTTGAAGAGCAGCAGTAAATGACAGCACAGCGGAAAAGTAGGAGTCAGGATGATCATGAAATGCCAGAAGCCATTGGGTTCTTCCCACGGTCCATAAAGCCTGAGTGCAGACACAGCTTTGTGGGAATGCTTCTCACAATGTCCAGGTTAACCTGGATGCTCATATCATGTTGGCAGCAGCCACATTAAGTCTGCAATGAAACCACTCTGTATAGACTCTTTAAATACAATCAGTTGTTCTGTTCTCCTTCTACCCCCAATATATGATGAAGGGCAGGTCCATGGGGTGCTTCAGTAAATTCTTCTTCAGTGCTGCCTCCATTTGTAATCCAAATTTTTTAATCACAAAAAACTTTATGCTATTATAATAAAAATTATTCTTTCTCTCCAGATTCAATTTTGAACTGTTGAAGATCTAATACTGAGTTATATTGGTAAACTAACTTTGGAGTTTTTTTCCCTTTTATTTAAGGCATGTGTATGTGATTCCAAATGCAATTTGCATCTGCTTTTCAGATTGTAAAGTGGGCCACACTAATTGCTGTAATCTCAGTCCGTTGACAGCAGGAAGCAAGTTTATTTGTAAGCATACACTGTATGGCACATCATACTCTTCTGGATAAAGTCAGTCACACATTAAAGGTAACCTCTAACTTGGCCCTAACAATAATGCAACATAAAGGTGCAGAAAGCAGCTGTTGGAGCTTCACTGGTATCCTTCAGATAAAATGATTAAAATTACATCACTCATTTGGTATGAGAGTCGTTTTAACCGAACACTGTAAACAGATCAATGTCTCCTGCTTTGCGTCAGCATCTCTATAGTAGCAGGAGACAATTATCCTGTGACATCCTATTCTACTGCCAACACCTAGTCTGTAATGCAGTCTTCAAACTGGTTGTCTTTAATGATTCTGTCAACACAGAGACTAATTTTTTTTAATGCCTTTTTATACTTTTTTTTTTTTTTTTCTGTAAAGCCCATATTCTAGGCCTTAATGTCACAGGAATTCTTAGTGAACTGTGCCTAAAAAATGGAGAGGAAATATGGTGGGCAATTTTGGATGGCTTAATTTGTGCAGATGGGAGGAGAAGTAATTATTCATTCAAATTGCTTTCTCTGAGTCCCTGGGTAAGGTCACATCCAGCACTGCAGTGTTTAGTCCTAGCTGTTTAATGGCATTTACTGTCCATTGATATGATGTCTCTGCCCTACAGTCCCATTTCAGCATCAAAATATCAATCGTACCACATGCTTTTGTGTGGTCATTTATAAACGTAACAACACTTTCCTATGCTTTGTCAGCTTGCTGTAGGACATACTCCAGATGTCCTTGCTGGCAGAACACTGTTATTAGCACACTACAGGCAAACCTGCCTGAATTTTTTAGTTTTGTTTGAAAATTTTTCTATGTCTTCTTACCAACTAATTTTGCTTTTCATTATCTACACCTCAAAGCTTTACTTTAATCCATTTGATCTAACTAACTATTGTTTTCTGCAGTGACTGGAAGGATAAATGTTTGCGTTCAAGTGAGTTAATATAAAACAATTGGGGTTGTATCTATGGAGGTCAATAAAAATTTGCTTCTGACATTAGGCAAGGTCAGTTCTATTTCAGCCACTATTATCATATTACAGGGACCCTAAAAAGCTCCAGATAGATTTTCTGCTCGAGTTACTGAGTTCATTATTGCACATATGTTATCCCATACGAAACTCTGGCATTAACAACAAATAGCTCTCCATTGTCTTCAGCACTGAGTTTGTGATATTAAAAATTCTTACTGTGATTTTCCAAGTACATTTGCTGTTTGGAGGGTAGACTCCAGGAAATCCTTCACTCCCAATAAACCCGGACTCTCCAGATACAACTCCTCCACATGCAAATGAAGGCCTGAGAATAATAGGAAAAATAGTGCTTAATTTTAAAATATATTTCATTTATTCTTTGTATAATAGTGAAGAGGCATGGACTGTCTTAAAAGCACAGCTTAAATACTTAAACACATTGCTAACTTTAAGCATATGTTTCATTACTTCCATAACTTCATTACTGACAGAGAATGTGCAATTTAACATGCAGACTTAGGTGTAGAGAAAATTAACTACTTGGACCTTAATTCTGGGTTTACCCAGACTGTTACCCTTCCCTCCTTTTTTAATTCATCAGATGGAAGATGTGGTGGTGTGATACATCATTGCAAATTGATATTATTATGAAAAAATAATTGTTAAAAAGTCATTAGTAATGACTATTTATAGTCTATATAGTAGTTTAAAATAGCACAGTAGTAAAAATAACTTTCAGTTCTTTTCTATTCTACCCTCAAATGCTTTGAATTTAGATACTTCAAGTAAATCGCTTTGGAAGGTTTCTATACCACAGGAACACGATCCACCATGTGCACAAGTCCTGCTGCTCTAGTGACGAATCCTTCCCTCTGGTTTTGCAGGTGTGAGGACACTCAGGGCTAAAAAGCTCAGGTGTGACTCCCTGCTCCGGTGCCCAGAGCTGCCTGGGGGACACACCAGGAGCCCCCAACAACCCCAGCACAGAACCACAGTGTGGCTGCTGAGGACACGAGGGTGAGCGAACGCACTGCTGAGCTTTACATATAGGAATATCATGTCATATCGTATTATAACGCTATATGATGTTACATATCATCTTCTATAGGGCTGCTCCCGCAGGGGCCTGTTCCCGTGGACAAGCCCCTCCCCGTGCCCTCCCCTGG